AAGGAGATGGAAACTTTGGTATCTCAAACTGTCAAGTATCCTTCAGTTTTCGTGATAGAAGACGCTGTTGATCGTGTGCGGGATTCATTTTGCAGGAGTCCTGATAAGTCTATAAGGTAAGCCAATAACGACATTCCATTCTGTTCGAACACGTTGCTGTACACCTGTGCCTGATTTAAATTCCGTTAACCAAAGTACGCACTGCGCTTTTTACTGTGGCATCCACATCTGTACTAATGAAGTCATTGTAAAAAGTTTATCGTCTGCAATTGCCGAATAATGTTCACACGTGCGGCCAATCGGACTAGACCCAAAACCTCTTGGAGAGTTTGCAATCCATGGATGAACAGTTTATTACATTCTGAGTCAGTACATTTGGACACTTAAAGCCCAGACACTATATATATATATATATATATATATATATATATATATATATATATATATATATATATATATATATATATATATATATAGTCGATTTTATACACAATAAACATATAGTACACAATGCTTTGTTGGCGCGCATGTCAATTTCTGCACCTCAATCGTTCACACACTTCAATGATTTTCATGGTGTTTTTCTTAGAATTTGGAAATCTGTAATAGCTAAAATGACTACACACAACGTTTGAATAATGAAAAGCGTGGCGAATCATTGAAAGGCTTGAGGAAAGTAGTCTTAAATTGTAGCTCTCTTTAGACTCTGATGTATTGTCCAATGTTGTTTATAATTTGAAAATATCTCTCATGCGTACATTTTAAAATAGACAAGAAAGTTTACTCTACTGTTTTTAAAAATCTGGTTATTTAGATAATTCATCAAATTTTGCAGCATTTATTTTTATTTAAATTCGATTACAATAATTTTAGAAAAGTGATTCCATGTTATTTCAATTTATAAGTAACTAATTTTTAATATTTCGATGAATATTTAACATTTTACACTGATTTTAAATAAGCCGCGATGCTTTGATCAGTAAAATTATAATTTTGTTTACTTTTCAAGCAAAGATTAAACTAAATTTCAGTGCTCAGTATCATTACGGTTAAAATTTTTCCACATGTCCAGCGAACAAGAAGAATACTTGCAGATTATGGATCTGTAATTAACCTTGTTTTATGTTTGAGACGTAATGGTCACATTCGCCATCTAACATAGATTTAGGAAATAATCAGTAGATAACTTGAAATATTTATCTAGTATGAATTCTAGCGCTTATGAACTGAACTTTGAGTTATTAAAGAACAAATTAATGAGAGGCTAATGACTAATTAATTTGATTAAAATTGCCTGCTATTGCAAATATTAGACAGGAAAAGTAAATATACACTAGTTTAAATTTAGAATGGATTAAAATTGCATTACTGATTCCGTAACGTTTTCAAAATTAATTCTCCCTCTCATTTATATATACATAGAAAGGAGAAAAGCGACTCACTGACTCATCACGATATCTCAGGTACTATTAAACCTACTGACTTGAAATTTGGTAGGCATGTTCCTTTCATAGAGTAGAGATCCGCTAAGAACATATTTGGTGAAAATTGAACTTCAAGGGACGTAGCGGGGGTTAAGGGACGTTAAAAATATATTTCCATTTTTAAACTACTGGACGTACAGTCTTGAAATTTAATACCCAGATTCCTTTCATGGAGTAGAGATTTGTGACAAAATGGGTTTTGTGAAAATTGACCCCAAGGGGTGTTGCAGGGGATTAAGGGGCATTATGAGTAATTATTTCCCTTTTAAATTATTAGACATACAGTCTTGAAATTTGGTAGGCATGTTCCCATCATAGAATATAGTTCCTGAAACAAAGAGTTTAGCGAAGGTTACCCCAAAGGGAGGTTGCGATTGGTCAAGGGGAGTTATAGAAAAAAATCCTATTTTTTAATTGTTAGAGCTACCTACTTGAAATTTGTATAGCATGTTTCTTTTGTTGAATATAGTTCCACTAAGAAAGGATTTTACGGAAATTGACTTATGGGAGAAGATGCGGTTTTACTGAGACGTATTGACAAAAAAGTTCCCGTTTACGAACTACTGGGTCTATAATAATGAAATCTGGTTTGCATGTTACTTTTGTTGAATAGAAATCCACTACGAATGGGTCTTTTGGAAATCGGCTCTCAGTGAGTTTAGGAGGTGTATTGATAGTAAAAATTCCATTTTTGCTCTATTAGATTTAGACAAAATTTGTCATGCATGTTTATTTTACGGAGTTGAGAACCACTAAAAATTGGTTTTGCGGAAATCCACTAGGTTATTTATTGGATTGCGAGAGTGTAAAAAATCATTCTACTTCAATTTTAGAGATTATTAGAAATTATTCATTAGAAGTTCCGTTTTTTTTATATCAAGAGGCTAGAGTAGTAGGTATATTTTTCAATACAATCAAATTCTTAATGCTAGAACTCAGATTTCAGTAATTTTTACATGTATATAAACAGTATATATTTTCCAACACCATGAAATATTTAGTGAAGCGGAGGGGTAACGGTTAGTAGAAGTTTTACAAAAGCAATTTTCGTACAGTAGTTCACATAGAAGCCAAGTAATTAATTTTTCAAACAAAATTAAACCACCTTACAAATTCTGTAAAAGTTATTACACTAATCTAAAAAAATTAAGTTACCAGTCATTTGTGTTTAAACACATGATGAATATTATTAAATCTGGAAGGAATGTGCTCTTAACAGTTATTTAATGTAATTTTCTGTGGAGTAAATTAAGCTATTGGTGCAATGAATACAGGGTGTAAGTTATGTACAGCCATAGAGTAACCGTTGTTTCAACTTATATAATTACCACAGAGTACTTCTTGCAATAAAATAGGCAAGGGAAGGTATGCAACCGGTATGTTAAGGCAGTCCCAAAAATGTTCGACCGAATAAAGATTAAGAGATGCCCAAAAATGCCTTCAAGAAGGTTTGACACAGGGCCCATTCAAGACTAGCTACGCGAGTGCTCAAACTTTACTAGACCACTTGATAAAGTAATAGAGTATAACTTCATGACCGTAAACGAGAATTCTGTAACATCGATTTCAAAAATGGTCATTTTGCAGAAAATCCATCCGTAATTGTGATGATGACTGCACACTGTAAAAGTAGATTTGGTCTTTCCTCTTGTTCAGCATCCTCTCTCCACGGTGTCTCCAGACTCGAATCCAACCATCGTGGTGTTGCAGACAGATGCGTGATTCGTCAGTAAAGACAACTTCATTCCATTCTGTCGCCCACATCCTTCTTTCATCGCACCATTGGCGGCGGAGACGTCTGTGGTTCTGCATCAATGGTAGACCAAGCAATGGACGTTTTGCGGACAGATCACTTTGCTGTAAACGGCGTCGAATGGTACGCGTAGACACTGAATGGTGTGTTACAGACTCAATGTGCTGTGCTATGGTTCGTGATGTGGCTGAGCGATCCGTCACTGCCATACGCATAATTTGCCTGTCCTCACGTGAAGTGGTGCACTGAGGTGGATGTGACCGACCACGTCGGTCCTCTCCTCTTGCATCCAACCGTCATATAGCCGTATTACAGTTGTTTGGTTTCGTCCAACACGACTACCGATTTCCCTGAAAGATAATCCACAATCTTGGTAGGCCACTATCCTTCCTCTGTCGAACTCGTATACTTGGTAAAAACTGATCGCTGTTTTCTACGAGACATAATTGATCGTTTTTTTTAAAAAAAAAAACACACAAATTGCAGAACTTAAAATCGTCGAAATCTCCAAGCCTTAAATAGCGCTTTAAGGTGGCGCCAGAGGTGCGCGTGATGTGTGTCTGCGCTGAAATTCTGATCATTTGCATACCTCACCTCCGCAAATGCATGTTGTAAATTTCATGTTATTTGCATGCTTCCTTCAGGGTGTTGCATTTACGTAGGCCAGCAGTGTATTAAGAGAAGCACACCTTATGATTATCCTATTTCCATCCATCTAATTATCCTCCATCTTAGAGAATCAGATCAATGATATCTTTCAGACATGGCGAACAATATTTTACACCTACAATTGAGGATTAACATGCGGGAAAAATTTCCACAAAAATTACGAGAGGGATATTCGCAGTTTCCTTCGATTGTCATGTATACTCAATTAATTTTAAAAATAGTAGTAAGCGTTATTATTTCATAAGGGTTTATTGAAGTTAATCCATTTTTAAATAAGAATTTTGCTATATATTTTATTCTTTTAAATGTGAGCATCGAAAAAAAACGATGTTATCTTAACTTTGTATGCCAACTTATTAATAGAATTTCTTATCCGAATTATAAATTAAAAGGTGATATTTGGCATGTAAGTATTAGGATATAATTATTGCATCGTTTAAGAAATGAATACGACTGAAAAGTAATAAGTTGTAATTGACGAATCACTGACAAAGAGTAAAAAATGAATGATCCATCGATTGTGTTTCCTTCTAAAATTAAGAGCTTTTTGTCCTGTTTTTCAATTCCTACTATTAGTTCATACTCTACCTATATATATGTATGGATAATTAAATTAGATTAGAAATTAAATTCCCGATCTAGCACTTAACTTATATTTTTCATTTCAACTTCAAGAATCAAATTAACCACCCATTTAATTCTTCTGAACATATGGTTAGCCAATAAACATGTCTAATTCCAGACCGTTAGATTTAATAGCCCTATATGTCAGCATTAACTTTCAAGTAGAATCATAAAAGCTGCGATACTTACCTCATTGGAGTTTTAAGTGCTAACTGACTTAGTTTTCACGGGGGCTTTCTTTTTTCTCTCTGCCTCTCAGCGTCAGTGCTTGTGTAGATTTCATCAAACAAAGATCTTTTTTAAATCTAAGTCTGATTCTGACTTAAAACATGTCATATATATATATATATTGTTAAATTTTCAGTTTTTTCAAATATTAATTCATTCATTAAATTAAAAAAATTGATTAAATAGTAACAAACAAAAATAATAGTTCAACAGCATATATAGAAAGGAAAATCGTCCGTTTTGTCCCTGTAGCACAATGGAAAGCGCATTGAACTTCTAATACAAAGGTAGTGGGTTCGAATACCACCTGGAATGGCCTAATTTCTGTGAATGTGATTTCTTTTTTACTATACTATTTTATTAGAACAATTAAATTTAATTAATGAATAAATAGTAATAAACAAACAAAGATAGTCTAACACCATATATAAAAAGAAAATGGAAAATTGCAAGAAAATTCCTTTTCTATTTTGCCACTTAGTACTGTGATTCTGTCATATGTGTATACATATTTATTTTAATTGTAATTATTTAATAAAAAGTAACTAAAATAATTCTTTTTATTTTTTTTGTTGATTTAAGTAGGAATTGACTTAAAATTTGTCTTTATATTAGTTTTTAGGTTCAAAAGACACACAAATAACTCGTTTTACGGAAACTGTCTTTATTTTTAGTACAACATTATGTAGTGTATATTAGGAATATTTTTATTGAGGTAACCGAGGTCACCTGAATGCTGGATTCTTATTCTATGTTCAAATCGGGCCAAGAGTTTGGGATCCCATTCCATTAAATATCTATAGACTAATGATTCTATATGTTACAGAAACCGAGGTTTTAAATTCTCCTGTGGTACATAATATAAGTTACGAAAGAGATACACCAGAGCTCAATTATTATAATTTAATTGTGGTTCAAAATTTCTGGATAACATAGTATAACGTTAATTAAAAATTTATAAGCATTAATACTTTATACTTTGATATGTCCCCTATAAGGCTAATTTGTATTAGATATTTTGAGGAAATAATGAAAAGTAAAATATTGAAAAATTTTTTAAAATTCAAGATACCATAAATATATGTTAAAAAAGTAACTAAAAAATCATTAATAACAAATCACCAATGCATTTGTATTTAATTTATATTTTCAGAATCTAGTTTTTTAAACGAATGTTACATTCCATTTTTAAATTCAAAATAGAGAACTATTTCATTTTCTTATTAAATTTCTTTTGAAATAATACAAAATTAAATTTGCAAAAGATTCATCAAGAAACTGTTATTCATTGCGTTAGAATATGCATACAAAAATACTCGAAAAAAAAGTACTAACAATGCATAAATATCAATTTACTTACAGTCTTTAGAGTAAAACAGCATCATATAGGACGTTCTTATGATTAGATTCCGAACATCGAATAATTGACTAAAAAATAACATCTCGCTTTATTAAGATTTTGAAAACATTGATAAAAGAAAAGCAAATATGTGTATCATTAAGAATGAATTAGGTATGAAAAAATATATTTAAGACACGTTCTGGATTACCATTAAGATTTTTACAGACCTCATATTTATAAATTGAGACATTTTTTAAATTCGTCCAATTTTAACTTTGATTAATTTTTAATTTTCTTAAAGCTGACAAAAAAATTTAACATTAAATAAAGGGAATATAATAGTTAAATGCTAACCATTAAACTCTCTTTTTCTATGAAAAAAAGGAAACACTTTCAAAAAATTAAGTATAATTTCATCAAGTTATAATTTTTGCTTGGAAGTTTATCTTTTTACTAAGCAAAAATCGTTTTTGTTCTTTGTAAAAAAATAAAAGCTTTTATTATCATTATTTAAACTATAGCTTAAGAAAATATGCTGACCATAGATATTTTTCCAAAAGTAGTTTTTTCCCCTTTAAACTTGATTTTAAGGTATCCAATTACGTTCGAAACAATAATTTCGAAAAATAAAAGCTTTTATTATCATTATTTAAACTATAGCTTAAGAAAATATGCTGACCATAGATATTTTTCCAAAAGTAGTTTCCCCCTTTAAACTTGATTTTAAGGTATCCAACTACGTTCGCGAAACAATAATTTCCCAAAAGCATACAAACGAATATTTCTTTTAATATTTAATGTCTCTTAGATTAGAATACACGCATAAAATTGTTGTAAGAATATTATTACAATAAAAAAAATATTTAAATGCAATATTTTGGCAAAGAATGAACTTACTTTCAAAACATTCTCCTTTTATGTAAAATGCTGCTACAGCGGTCAAAATAAGTATTTGACTTGCAAAGATTTCTACGAATGTTGACTTAAAACACCTTACTATGAAAAAACAACGAGACCATGTTCCGTTATTTTTTTCATATAACTGTTCATTTTCTATTGTAGAAGTTTTTATATTTAAAAAGCACACCTAAGCAAATAAATCCCCTTTATAATTTTCAAAAGCAGTTTGGCAAGCAAAATAAGTATTTGACATAGGAGGCTTTGGTAAGTTTTTATACCGAGAAGCAAAATTACCTTTAAGTGTGGTTGTAAATTCTTGTAATTCAAAGCATTAGGACTATTTCTGAGGGTATTTAGAAAGTTTTATTTAAGCTGTGAACTAGATGTGCCGAATACAAGGAGAGTTGTCAGTATAAATTAAAAATTTAATCATAATGCACACACACACTTTAAAAATGGTTTATCTGAAAACAATATTCCGGCTATTGTAAATAGGCCAAGACAAGTGTGCATTTTATAATTAAAAAGTATTAAGAGCAAAAATCGCGGTTGATAACAAGCCAAGATCTGGTCGACCAAAAAACTTTCCCAAGCAGCTGAGCAATCGCTTGCAAGTCAACTTAAAAATAACCACAAAGCTAATGCATCAAATTCGGCAAATTTTACCAAGAATTGTTTAGACATTGATGTTGTGACAAATCTATACGGAACTTTATCACTAACCTTCTGAGACGTCTTTTTTAGGGAAATTTAATTCCCTACCTATTTCCAATCAACTCCAAAAAGAGGACAGGGATTCCTTCTTATATATGCAGATTAGATAAAGTATTTAAGTCAAACAGAATAGTAAAATGAGATGCAGTAGGAGAGAGAGATTGAAGTAGGAAGTTATAATAGTGAAGTTAGAGATTTATTATTGGAGATTTCTAGGTGGATAAATTAGACTCAGGAAGAGCTGAGATTCAGTGTGGTAAATATTGATTTATAATTATAGTCTCATTATAGTTTTATATTAGGAGTGAGATTAAAGTTAAATGTTCAATAGGAACATTATTGAATATAATTCTGGGATCTCTTATTGCGGTAATCTCTGCGAGATCGATATTATAATTGTTAATTAATTGGATAATTAAATATTTAAGTTAATATAAAGGAAAATCCCTTTTAAACCTCATAAAGCTATTTTGATTTCTTTGTTATTAAAAGTCTTTGATTCTATTTGGGAAAGATAACCAAAAAAAGAAAGTTATTTATAAAAATGGCTACTGGTTCTTCTTTGACTCAAAATTATTCTCGTTCTAAAAGTGAGATCCAAGGGGATCTTCACAATGTTACGCCCCAAACCGTTAGAAATTACCTGCATAATAATGAATTTAAGGCTAGAACTGCTCGATAGAAGACATATATATCCAAAAAGAACCGAGTGCAAAGACTGGAATTTTCTAGAAAATATGCAAACCAGTAAAATTCTGGCACAATGTAATGTTTGTAGACGAGAGAAAATTTAATATTTTTGGATGCGAAGGCAAAATTATATTGTACAGAAAACGCAATGTGTTGAGTCGGAAGATCGATATATGTTGTCCACAGTAAAGCATGGAGGAGGAGGTATAATGGTTTAGGGGTGTATGGCGGCTTCAGGAGTGGGAAATATTGTCGTAATTAACGGCACAATGGACCATCTGTATTACATACAGATTTTAAAAGGAAATTTGGGTGCCAATGCTGAAAAACTAGGTATAGGGGAGGACTATCAATTTTACCACTCACAATACAAGGCTTCGGCTGCTATACAACTGCCCAAAAGTAATAAAAACAATCAACCAACGTCCAGACCTCAATACAATTGAGCACCTGTGGAGCAAATTGGGGAAAAACCGGTTAAGAGAGCGCCATTTTTCTAACAAACGCTAAATGGAGTTCCTTAGAGAGGAATGGCCGAAAATTAACCAATAGGTGACAGAAATTTTGGTTAAATCGATGCCACAGCATTTAAGAGAAGTCATCCATCGGAGAGGAATTGCAACTACATATTAGTTTTATATTATTTGTATATTTTTCATTTATTTTTATGTCTTGTCGAATACTCTTTTGTTTGTTTAACGGCCTTTGAATGAAATAATTGTTATTTGTTAATTTATTATATTTTACTGTATTACAAAAGATGCAACATTTAATTCTTAATGATACTTGGTTTAAAATCAATATATATATATTTTTGCTTTTTTATACAGTTTTTATTTTTTAATCCTATATAAGCAGGAATATTCACATGTCGAATACTTTTTTTGACCGCGGTATATTAATAATATTTTGTTTATACATAGCCAAGACTTCCCCAGAGAGCCTGGACTAGGGTTTCTTAAAAATTCAGAGTTATTACCAATTGAAATAATTACCGGTGTATTTTTGTTAAAATTTTTCTCCATTCTTACGTACTAAAATATGAATAAATACACTTCTAAGTTATATATATATAGTTCAAAAATCGTAGTTCATGTACTGTACAGAGGTCTGAGCTATAGACAGGCAAAATATTATTATAATAGAAGCATTTTCCACACAAGGAGAATGATTTGAAAATAGGTAATTCTATGCTTATTTTTTGCCAAGATGTTGCATTTAAATAATTTTTTATTATAAAAATAGTTTTAAAACAACTTTATATGTGTATTCTAATCTAAGTGGCACTAAATATTAAAAAAAATATTCGTTTGTATGCTTTTTGCAAAATCGTGGTTCCGAACGTAGTCGGATACCTTAATGATTCGCCCAAAAACACTATAATAAAGTGATAGCAATCAAGGATCATCATTGACGTAATCATTTATCGTAAATGTATAAAATTGTAGAAAAAACTTAACAAAATGCAAACGAAAAAATGTTAAGCAAAAAAAAAAAAAAGTTTTCTCAAATTACAGTCTAATCAATAATATTCACATAAGAATAGTTTCCTAGTATTACCACGAAAATATTTGATGATATGTAAATTAAATCAATACAAAATTTTTCTACAGAATTTGTACCCATCGGTAATTCTAATTTGAATAATTTCTTCTTGCCCGTATCGAAG